TTTGTCAAAAATGAACGTTTTCAAAAAATTCTAATTCAATGAACTTTCGACAGAATTGAATGGAAAAAAAATAGCAGAGTATAGTTGAAAAATTATTTCATCCGTTATAATAAACCTCTTCCAATTCCGCGGCGTGATTTCGCTGCAAAAAAATCCTAAAATTCATAAATTTGGTTGAATTAACTGTTGATTACGTGAACTCTCAGAAGTTGGCTTCGTATATATTTCTAACCCCCTGAAATTTATTCAATAAGCACGTGGTTATTTTTGCAAAGACTCACGGTTATGGAAATAAACTGTGGAGGTTTTTAATGAATTTCTCAGTTGGGATTAATATTGGTCGCCGGTTGAATGGAAAATCGTCATTCTGGAATTACCATTGGGAGGTTGAAACGTTGAATATGAGGTATTTTCTCTCTATCATCCAGCGTAAAATTGGCTTACATTCACTATTTTATTTTATTTTTTAGTCGGAGGATCACCAAAGACCCCAGGATGACAGTTCCATGTCCCTAATCGTTTATGCGGCTTCTGGACTGTTTCATTGGTCATGCAAATTTACTTTCCAACTTGACTCCCCTCCTGACACAGAATTTTCATCGGCTGGAATCATCCCTGAATTTTTTTTATCGTGTGTGTGTCACTAGCTTTATTTCCTATTGTCAAATTAATTTTCTGCGCAAAAAATTACAATAAATCAAATTTCTGAAATAAATTTTCTCGTCTCGTTTGTCTCATCTCGTCTCGTTTCTCTCGCGTCTCGCGGCATCACTACTATAGAAAGAGGGCTGGAAAAATTCCTTACTTGACAAATCGTGTATTTTGATAACTTCATCCCAGAGAATTGATACTAGACAGGGAAGGAACAGAAAAATTCATAAAAGTCAAGCGGGAGAGATGAGTGGAGCGAGTGGAGAGACGACTAGAGTAATGGTAGGAGGTAAGCAAAAGGGGCAAATGGAGAGATTACAAACCTTGATTACAAGATTTCGAGACCCTAGCCATCGACTGACTTGTCTTTTGCGTTTGAATCTCCCTGCACGTCTCCCCATTTGACCCTTCTAGGAATTCACTTTGCTCACCCGTTTGACCTTTGTAATCTCAACCCTTCCGCTTGACCCTTGTCGTCACTCCACATTCGTTCCATCCAATTTAACAGAAGAATTTCGGAGAGAAACCCATGAGCAACTTCAGGATTGAACTGTCTTCTCTAACAGTTCGCAATTTCCTTAGAAATGTCGCGAAAATGTAAAAACTCACCCGATTCATTCTGTTACGTTTATGCACAATTCATCCCTACATCACAGAGGAGAAATATCACCCTGCTGTGAAGGAAGCCTATGAGATCGTGTTCAGCCGATCCATGTGTAACCAGGACAAACCCTGGACTCCATCAATGTGCTGCTGCTCTTGTCGCGTCCTGCTACAGGTATCAGTGAAAACCAGGGAGATAAAACTTGCGTTCAACGTCCCAGCGATATGGAGAGAACAGTATGATCACATCACAGACTGTTATTTTTGCGTGACAAACACATACGGATATTCTCGTAAAAATAAGAAGACTCTCCAATATCCAACCGTAAAATGATTGGATCCACCATCATTTTCGTCGATGGTACCTGTATTTCAAGGGAAGAAGGATACAACATCGGTGGACACGCCTGTTGCTGCAGAAGCACCTGTGTGCACCGACACAGACGACACAGAAGACATTTCCAAAGACGAAAATTACATAGAAGTACCATCGGTGTTAGTGAAACCAGGTCTCATGACCCAAGGGTAGCTGAATGATCTTGCTAGGGACTTGAACCTCACGAAGGGAAGATCGGAGTACATGGGTTCGGTTCTCAAAGAATTCAACGTCTTAGAACCTAGGGTTACTACCAGCCATTTCCGTCATCGAGATTAGACCTTTCGTGAGTATTTCGTGGAAGAGGAAGAGCTTTTATATTGCTCCAATGTGAATGGCCTTATGAAAAGTCTGGGGCATGATCATCATCCAGAGGCTTGGCACCTCTTCATCGATTCCTCTCGCACCAGTTTAAAGGCTGTACTCCTTCACATTGGCAATATTCACCCTTCTGTGCCTGTTGCGTACTCTACGTCATTGGGAGAGAACCATGCAAACGTGCAACTCCTCCTTGATAAGGTTTAGTACAGGGAATAGAAGTGGCTCATCTGTGCTGATCTGAAGATGGTCACACTCGTCATGGGGATGCAACTGGGATTCACAAAATACAGCTGCTTTCTATGCCATTGGGACAGTCAGGACAGAGAGAACCATTATAAAACTAAAGAATGGCCGCGACGCGATGAATTCATCCCTGGTAATCGGAATATTGTTGGGGAGCGACTCACTGAATCAGAGAAAATCTGTTTACCTCCTTTGCACATAAAACTTGGACTCATATCGAGCTTCGTGAAAAGACTCCAGAAGGACGAACCAGCATTTGCCTACTTAAAAACTCTCTTTCCGAAATTGGGTGATGCCAAAATTAAAGCAAGAGTTTTTGTTGGCCCACAAATCCGCAAGTTAATTGAAAATGATAAAGATTTCGAGAAAACCCTGAATCAGATTGAGCTGAAAACATGGCGCTCACTGAAGAAGGTCTTGTCTGAGTTCCTTGGAAGCCGTCGTTCACCACACTACCAACGAACTGTGCAACAGATGCTTGTGAATTTTCAGAAAATGGGGATTAACATGTCTCTGAAAATTCACTTCTTACATTCCCATCTATATTTTTTTTCGGAGAAGCTAGTCGACGTCAGCAATGAACACGGAGAACGATTCCATCAGGACATCGCGACAATGGAAAAGGGATATCAAGGAAAGTCCATACTCCATATGTTGGGAGATTATTGCTGGAGTTTAATGAGCGATGATGATACGGAGTACAAACGCAAATCCTACAGGATCTCTTTTCAGAACGCTGAAACTGTAAAACGACGAAAAACTTGTTGATGCCAATTTTTCATATTCAATGTTCAAAACTCGTTGTTTCTTCTTCTGTGATTAAATGCAAAACCCCTTTGCCCAAGTCTTATCCTTGACTTTACTCTTATTCTTTACTCTGATGCTTACTTTTACTTTTACTTATGCTTTATAGCTAGTTTTGAAATTTCACCCTGATGTACTCTCAAATTCTATCCTGATGGTACACTAGCATTCATCACTCTGATGCGATTTTGATGAATTTTGATGGGTCACCGTGAATACCTGAGCCTTCATTTGATGAAATACATACAAAAGTATTCATTTCTTTATGAGAGAATTTATTTTCAAAATATAACGGTAATTTCTCGAGTAATAAATTAAATTACATACAAAAAATGAAGTTAGAGACATACAAACTGTGAATAGAAATCCCAAAATAGATATTGTTGATAGAAATTAGGTTCAGAAAAAGGGAAAATGTGGGAAGTAAGTCGGCATGTCTGCTGAACCAATCCAGGGGATATAAACTATGAGGGACATGGAACTGTCATCCTGGGGGCTTCGTGAGTCCTCATCGTGTTTATGCAGTAAGACCTTATGATGAAAATAGTAAATGGACGCAAATGTGGGTGTGAGCAATCGTCCAATAGGTGATAGAAATAAAATACCTCGCATTTCACGTTTCAGCCTCCCAACGGTAGTTCCCGGATTCACAATTTTCCTCTTAAAAGGCGGCCTATATCACTTTAAACTGAGAAGTCCACTCAAAAATCTTCTCACAATTCATTTTTATAACCTTGAGCCTTTAAAAAAATAATCACGTGCTTATTGAATAAATTCCAGGGGGTTAGAAATATATACGAAGCCTACTTCCGAGAGTTCACGTAATCAACAGTTAATTCAACCAAATTTATGAATTTTAGGATTTTTTTGCAGCGAAATCACGCCGCGGAATTGGAAGAGGTTTATTCTAATGGATGAAATAATTTTTCAACTATACTCTGCTATTTTTTTCCATTCAATTCTGTCGAAAATTCAACGAATTAGAATTTTTTAAAAAAGTTCATTTTTGACAAATTTCACAATTTTAACATTTTTTTTCTCTAAAATCTGACGTGCTAGAGGAATTTTGCAAAAACCGTTGGATTCAGCGTGCAAAAATCTATAAGTGGTGTAAATTTTATCTTTGGTAAGAGACTTGACCTTATTTTGTTGTACCGTGTAAACAATTCAGGCTTTAAATATTGTGTAGAGATTCTGTGAATAACTAATTTAAAAAGGGAGAAATAAAAGACAATAAAAAAATGAAAAACTGAAAAATTAAAAATTTAAACCCTCGATGTAACAGTTGTAAACTGACCGATTTAAAAAAGGAGAAATAAAAAAAGAAAATTGATATTTAATAAATTTATAAGAAAATCGATGGAGCCAGGGGAACATGGCCAAAGAAAATAGAAGCAAGAGAGCAAAGTGGGGGAACACTAAAATGAACATCATCCCACGTGTTTATGGATATTCAATCAATTATGAGAATATCGATGGAGCCAGGGGAACATATCCAATATCACCAAGATTAAAGAAGACTAGGAGCGAGAAACGAGAGACCAAAGTCGGGGGGACACCAAAATGACCATCATCTCACGCGTGCGTGTGATTAATTTTTTCATTTGAAAACATGTTTCATTTCCTGTTAATGTACGAAAGATTTACGAAAACGTCATTTAAAATTTGTTGAAATTTAAAACAAATTTACATATCTTGTAGAAATTCTTAAGATAAACAGGTGTAGAAAAAACAATCAAGAGGCTTTGCTGTTATCCATAAAATACTCCACAAAATAAATTTAAAAAAAAAATTCTCCAAAAAAATTCATTAGTTCTTCAGTCATGTTCAAAACACAAAATCGAGGAAATCTCTCAAAAAAATTTTTCGTTCTCAGCAGAAAAGCATCTCCCCACATCATCATCAATTGACCATTATCGATTAATAATAATATTTCATAAAGCATCGCACTCAATATTCGTGCGACGATTAAATATTCTATCACCATAAACATAATTATTACCTGCTCCTTGAGCCATTTAGAATGTGGCCTACTCCTGGCAATTTGCAGTTTCAGCTCAACATCCTGGATAATTGTTTTCTCTTCAGTGTCAACCAGCAGCATTCTGCCAGGCTTCAGACGACTCTGTAAATAAATATCAATGTTCCTAATGATTATTCAAAATAAATTGACTAAGTTACTGATTGGAAATCATAAATGAACAGTTAATAATGAAAAAACAGCACTGGATGACGGTCCTACAGATCTATACAAACCCATTCCCTAAATTATTAAATTAAACACCAATACATGAGTTAATTAATGATCATTACAAAAAAAAGTTTTTAAAAATGCATAAAACAAAATTGCATTATAATGACTTCCCTATCCACATGAACGATCACCAATTTATGATTCAATAGCTTCCTGTTTCCACAACTAAAAAAGTCACAAAAACATTTGACAATTTGATAAACATCAGATGAATATTTCAATTTAATTGCAATGGAAATGAAACGCCAGCACAATGAAGGGTTGTTTCATTAAAATTCATTGCAAATAATTCCCTTTAACAATTCTTCTCATAAAGGTAATTATTCAGCGATTAGTAATTCTTCCATTGCAGACTCCCCAAAACAATACAAAATAACTCTCTAAAAAAAATATGCGTATGTGATAAAAGAATTAGAGGAAGAAAAAAATCATTTCCATCTGGACAAAAAAATATATAATTTCCAGGGGACGATCACGTGGTTATCCTCATTCCTCATCTGTAATCCCTACGTAGCCATCTTTAATAATCGACGTATGTAATGAGGGGGGGGGGGCAATTAGATCCTGCATTAAATGTTATCCGTCGACTTTCCTAAAATGCTGAAAGGATAAAATAACTAATCAAGTTTTTAAAAGATATAAAATATTGTTAAAAAAAATTGATAATGGTTTGATGCATCTGTTGATTGACATGTTCATCAGTTCATTAGTTAATTAGCTTCCAAATGATGCCCAGAACAAACATGGAACAGCAGCAGGTGTTGGCCCAGGCTCAATTTTCGATTCTGTTTTTTTTTGTTTCATATATTTTTTTTCGAGTCAAGTCGTCATTTTTCGGCTGCTGTAATCTCTTCATCTTTTACCTTCAGGACAACATTGCTGGGCGGAGTGTCATAGACGCCCACTTCAGACGCCATCACCATCATGTTATCCTTAGTGACGTAGAAGCGCGATGGGCGCAGGCCATTTCTGCCAAACAAAAAATTTAAAAAAGTCTTTTGTATTACCACCATTGTCGGTTATCACTTGTCTTTTATTAATTCTCGGTGAATTAATTGAGCTGATATCGTTTGCCATCGTCCTGGCACTGTACTTAAGAAAATAGATATCTAATGTTTCCTTGGATTCTTTTGATTAATTGGTTTCTTTTTACTTTGTACGACATTCGCCACATAGTTCAATTAATTTATTAAACACTAATTGGAGTGGAGAATAATATGTTGAGGATGTCATGGTTGTTCCAGAGAATTATTAAAGAAAATTGTATTTTTTTTAGAGAAGACTTTTGATAGAACAATTTCAACCTACCAGGCCAATAATAATAAAGAAATTAAAAATGTAAACCAAGCATTTGCGATGTACGTACACTCCCTCGCTCCTCAGATAATTTCTCCTTAGTGCTGATTAAATTAATGAAGGGGAGGGGAGTGTAGAGAGAGAGAGAGAGAGAGGGAGTGTAGAGAGAGAGAGAGAGGGAGAGAGGGAGTGTAGAGAGAGAGAGAGAGAGACTAATGTACTCTGTGTAATAGATCACTCGGGCATAAACTTCGTTTTCAATGAATGTGAGTACAGACCGCGCTTTCGGCTCGGCCTGTAAACTTCAACTTGTACTCTAATGTATTTATATTAAATTTGTATTTAATATCAAATTCTATTTAATATCAATTTATGCCGGAGTGATCTATATTTTATGTCACATTGTGCACAAATTGAGTTTGAAGCACGCTGAGCGAAGTGCCGCGTGCAATAAACTCGACATATTGCACGGCGTGACATAAAAATACTAAACGTTGGAACGGTACGGTTAAATTTCGCGCCATTCAGATCGAGAACGACATTATCACATCTCATGGTAGAGAGAACGGAAAACCGCAGAAATCGACGATTTGGGACTTTATTTTTCAGTATATCTTGGTGAAAAGATCGAGAACACAGTTAAAAGTCGCATGAAAGTGAAAGCAAGATTTACAGGCTAATCTTTGTACAAGACACCACAGGGACTGTAGGGGAATAAAATTCCGAGAATTACGTACCTGCCACTTTATTTGCGCTTAGAGGGGAAAATATTTTGATTTGATATTCTTCGGACAAGATATTAGACGGTGAAACATGAATGTTTGATGTAGTAGATATTGTTCTTTTTTTAAAATAACAATTTGAAACACGGAATGAGTTAGTTTGCTAATAGGGACCTGCGAAGCAAAATTGAGACTTTCATTACAATTTTGGTTTTCTTAAAAATTGGGTTGAATTTTGTTTTGTGTTGTCTATCTATCCATCCGAAAAATGGACGTAAATTACTGGTGCAATACATGTAAAAAAATAAATATTTTACCAAGTGTTACAATCGATGCGTTTTTTTTATTAATTGTAACAAGTGCCCATACATGCGTTTCGAAATGCAGTTCTAGATCATGGATGCAAATATTTTCAATAATTTTTGCAATATGTCAACTCCATTCCCACTCAATTCTAGCCCCTTTGTCGAGTATCTTATACGAAGAATATGAAACGAAAAAAGAGTTATCATGGATGGGAGGGAAGTGGGCAGCACGTTAACATTTGCGCCGATGTTGGGGCGCTTCGATGCGTTTATTGGCAAACTCGAGCGAGATAGAGGAGAATGGTTCAAACGAAAAATGTTCATCATTGAATTTTACATATAATTGTTGATTTGCCATTTGATCCGTCAATTTTTTATGAATTTTCTAAGTTGATTGACGAAGGCCCCTACTAGGAAATTTGAAAAAAATTACAAAAATTTGATGTTACCAACAAAGTATTTTACGGCATATTTTAGAGTGAGTATGGAAATTAATCGTGTAATAGCTGCATTGATTCAAAAAAATACTCATTATTGTCAGATTATAATTTGTCTCGCAAATACTAGTTATTTCGATAAATTGAATTCCGATTTTGTTCATGATTTTTTTCTCAATTCTATATCATGAGATAAGGTTTCAGTTAAAATTTCAGTCCAAGATAAAATTTTTTAAACGAGTTATGATTTTTTTAAAATTTTGCGTTTTTTTCGACTGTAAAAAAAATTCCTATCGCCTTTGATTCCCACTGAACAAAATCGGTGTCATCGATTTTTTTCGACTCTTGGTTTCACGTGGATCGCCCAGGAAGGAATTGAATAGTTAATGAATATCGAGACAAGTCAATAATCAAGTCGAAATAAGCCCTAAAATGTAGCTTTCGGCGAATTTCCATGGAATTTTTTCTGTCCTTTTCTGTGCTGTTTTTCTTCAAATCTGTCCTTCAAGAAACTAAGATTGATAAGTCTGTGGAAATAGATTTGCGGTATTCACTGTGCTCAATGACAAAAAATTTGTATATATGAATTTTATCCTGCGGAATTCAATTCTCCTCTATCTCGATCAAGTTTGCCAATAAACACATCGGAGCGCCCCAACATCCGCGCAAGCGTTAACATGCTGCCCACTTCCCTCCCGTCCATGATAACTCTTTATCTATCGCAGTTAGGAGAAAAAGTTATATAATAATGTTAAAAACGCGACTAAAATCCCAGAACATTCAACTCGAGCGCCATCGGGAACCTTCGGTTGAGCGGTCAGACGATCGTGAAAACCCCAAAATTTAGTCTTACATCGTACCTCATCGAGTACAGTAGCTTCTTGAACCTCACCTAGCTTACTAGTAACCAAGTACATCACCAGTCTTTGTAAGATCAACGTTTTGTTCAGTACATCACCACAATAATTAGTTAAACTTCATCTAAATTCAGTGATTCAACAGTATTAAATTCAGAGACAATTATCAGTGAAATAAGACTATCAACAGTGACAATTATACTAAAGAGTGTAAATAGTTAGTTAACGACGTGGTTCGATCCCACGAATAAACGGCAATTTTTATAATTCGTCTCAACGTTAATTTTCCAGCATTTCCCTCCATATTTTCTCCCACATCCACTCTAAACCTAGTGCCTCACCAAACAGATGAAAAATGTGTATTTTTACATAACAAACATCTTTTGTTTGAAATTTTTTTCTCTATCTGCAACCGTTTCCATAATATGATTGATTAAACAATAAAAATGTTATAAATAGAACTGACCACAACTTGTAAAAATCGACGTCGGATTCGGATTCAGCACTTCCGTTAACGTAAATTCCATAGATAAAATGTAATTTTTTTCCTAGCGCATACAGAAATAGCGTCAGCGTAGGGCGTACTATTTCTATTTCCACTCTAAAAAATAACTGGAAACAACTTTTTGGTAACATAAAATTTTTGTGAATTTTTTCAGATTTTAAAAATGGGGCTTTCGTTAATCTACTTCAAAAATCGATAGAAAATTAAAGAATTGATAAAAAAAATCTGAAAAAAATCAGGGTGGATTTTTCATCGAGTAGAATTATGAAAAAAAAAACGAATCTGAAAATGAAACGAATCTGAGATGGTCAGGGTTTAAACCGGTCGAATTGATATGGAATGCCCCATACACAAAAGACAAGCCCATTTCCACCTGACTTAGGTATCAACGCCCAGCCCAAACTACTACACTGAAAGAAAAACAAACACGTTCTCAAACAAGTCTTGTTTGGCCCAACAAAATCACTATTTGAAAATTGTCAAAAAAGAATTTGTTTCGTTCGAATTTGAAAGTCTCAATCATGAATAATTGTTCTGCTTTTGACAGCAACGAAATATTAGGCTCAAGAGGCAGATAATTCACAACACACGGTGCCTTTTCAGGATGAAAATATCTCATATAGAGGAGAATTTCTCTTCAAATATTTTATCCCTAAGTTACAAGATTGCTATCATATCATTATTATTGTTCCATTTAAGAGTTCATTTCTTATCAGTAATTATTAGACAGCCGAAACGAAAAACTTTATCTCTTGTTTCGCATAATACAATGATTTTCTGGGAGCAAAATATGTATGGGAGTATCGAATTACGAAGGAGTAGTGCTAGAAATGACATTTCTTACGTGTACAGAGAATGAATTTTTTTTTGAACTACTAAATCTATTTTTGCGACAAAAATTTTCCATTCCGGCGCACTCTCTCCATGTTCGGCACAAAAAAAATCCTTTTTCGATAATTTTCAAAAAAATATTTTCTTGGCACAAGTAAGACTTGTTTGAGAACTTTGTCGTTTTTCTCTCAGTGTAGAGCTACGAGCATGAGCTTTTGTCTATAGCTTCCCTTAGTGCTGTTAGCGCCCACTAAGGGAGGCTTTTTGAAAAATTCATCCAAAAAAGTTTTGAAAAGAGGGCAAACTTTTTTCTACAATTTCGAAAACCACTCAAGTTATGAACATGAAAATTCGCGTGTAGATTATAGGTTCAAAATTAATACATAGGTGTTGTTTTCTTTTTTTGAAATTCAACCCCCGAGAGGGTGAAACGCAGAAAGTTATAGAACTTTCTGGAGATTTCTCGAATTTTCTAGAAACTGATGAAATGTGCCTGAGAGATAAAAAAACTCAATTTCTCTAATAATGTATGAAAGTTCTAGAAGTTTTGGGAAAACTTGAGAATGTTCAATGGTACTTATTGGACAAATGATTCCCATTTCGCTTCTGACAAATTTTCTTGCAATTTAATATACGTAGTATATATAAGCTGAAAAGTTCTCAGGTTCATCGAAAAATCTAGGTTTTCCCGAAAAATTTAGTCAAATATGTGCATCTTCGAGGAAATTCTAGAAAATTCACTCTAAAATTTTCCAATGAACTCGAGAAAATTCTTGAATTCTAAGAAGATACAAGGAAATTGTCGGATTTTGTACGACGTTTGCGAGTTATTTTGAAAATTCAAGTAACTTCGGAAATATCAATAAAAAAGAATTAGAATAGTAATATTTCGAATTTTTATCTTCATAACTTCACAAATCATTCATCCCCCAAGTTGCTGAAAAGGGTGCATATTTTTTCAGACGATTTCGAAAACCGGGGAAGTTGTAGACGTGAAAATTCATACAGTAGAGTCTATGTATACTTAAAATTAATGAATACGTGTTTTTTTCTTTGGTTTTTTAAAACCACAACTTCTAAGGGGGTGAAACGCGGATTTTCACAAATTTCCAGAACTTTATCGAAATTTCTACCCTCTTTCTGGACAATGATGGGATCATAGAACTTTCGGGGCTTGTTGAGAATTCAGTCTCAGAGATATGTCATTTTTTCTTTCGTTATACCAAGTAGAAAATTCGAGAGAATTCAAGGAGTTTTTAGAAGTTTCGAGGAAATGCAAGGAGTTTCTAGAAATTTCAAGCGAATTGGAGAAGTAAAATTCTCCAACGATCACTGGGCAAAATATTGGAGTTAATAATTTGGAAAAAAAAAATTTTCCAGTAAAAATCATTGAGTTTCAGAATTCTGTCGCACTCGAATCTCACACGCAAAAAAGGTAGTTCTCATTCCCAATAATTTTCAATTAAATCTAGTATAATTGTATTTTAATTGGGGCAGATCTTTTCTTGCTTAAAAGAAATCTCGATTCTGGTAATCAGAATTTTTGAACATTCTCGTTCTGGAATTGATCATATATTGTGCTATAAAGTTAATCTGCTCATGTTTATAAATCCTTTGTTATTCAAAGTACATCATCTGACATATTGATTCAATTTTCAATGTTTAATTCGCATTCAATTATTCCTGAATTTTGTTCTTTTCCAAACGTCATTGACTTAAGCATCCCCCGGGTCTTCATTCCAGAACTTTTCTCAATTGAAAGAAGTAAGTTTTTGGTAGTGAACGTTAGGGATTTTTATTGAAATCAACTGAAATTGGGTAACGAATTTCTCATTCTCAGTACAATGCTTACTAGAACCACGAATTTATTGAAACCTGAAACTTGCTTCTGGAAACTAGAGACTCCTTTCAATGTGCGGAATTACAGTAGGAGGATATGAAGGAAATAAAATTATGTATTAGACGGACTAGCTGAACTATGGCGTTTCGGTAATTATTCGACCTGAAATGTTGAAATCAGCACAAACATTTGGCGCTTTCGAGAAGGAAAGACTGAACTTCGTTTAATATTTTAATAATTTGTTTAGTGAGATCCCCATGATATCCTCAAAGGATCTCTTCCATTAGATATTTCTCGAGCGGCAGAAGGTCATCTAGTCATATCTAGACTCCGGTATTAATGAATTAATTATTACTTATGCTCGATTAATTGAAATCATCAAGAGGATTATTTTGGGCGACTTGATTGAATTAAAGAAAACAATTCACAATTGTTTCATCCAACCCTCTGCAACTCAGTAATATCTTTGTAATTAATAATTAATTAAAAGAAATCAATAAGAATGGATAAATTCGCTGGTACAGCAACGAGAAACTCGTTATTCCCTCGTCTTTCACAATTATCCTGAGGAACCATTCTTTATCTAGACTTGTTTTCCTGATTTTTTTTTCATTACGATTGTTAAGTGCTAAGTAGTACTCTCGATCCACGGCCGTGGAGGTAGTGCTGTATCAAGATATTTATGGTTTTTCGGTTCTATGGTTTTTCTAATGTAAAATTTGTTTTTTAAATTCTTTGGCTTCTTTCTGGGTAAATTAAGAGATAAGTCTACCTGTCCAAAATAGCTCCGACATAGCGGCCATCGGTGAAGGTGAGAAGAGCTGGTCCGTCCCAGGGTTCCATTGCGCATGCAGCCCAGTGGTAGAAATCACGCTTCTCCGTTGCCATTGTCAGATCATTCTGCCACGCTTCTGGGACCATTGTCATCACTGCCTATAAATCGAATGATCATTATACGTGAGGAGATGATGAGAGACTACTATTAATTTTTAGACGAATTTGTTTGAAGCCAAAGTGGCCTTTAATTTATTTATTAACTCAAAAATTACAGGGTGACAAGTGGAAAAGTGAGGGGGTGATCATTTCGAAAGAAATTGTACAGCGGATTTAAAGATTTCAATATTTCAAGGATTCTGAATTTTTTGTGGAATTCCAAAAGACAGAAAATCTTGTGAAATATTCAAGTTTCGGAGGATTTCAAAGAATTTCAGAGAAAAACTGATACTTTCATATACTTTGAAGCAGTTGGACTAGAATCTCAAGATTTTGGAAAATTTTCTGAGAATTGAGCAATCTTCATGAAGAAAATAAAAGCTCGATAAGGAGTGAGATAGCTCGAGAGTTATAATAATAAAAAACACATTCTTGTGGCCATTATCCTTTAATAAAAATGCATACATTGGAAACTGTCATGGCGGAGGAAATGCATTTGGAAGTGTCGTGGCGGTGGGCGAAAGTTTGAAAAAATTAAACTTCCATGAGATTGAGCAATGCGGCCGCGACGGCGCTATTTAGGGTGTTTCGTGGGAAAGAGGTAAATAATGACATTCATCTGGAATTCATACAGAATGTTTACAATCACAATTGAAGTATCTATAAATTTTTCTAGAATTTTTTCAGATTTACTTTTCAAGTATTAACGATTGAAGTCTGCTTATATTAGGTGTATAACTTAATCTTTTCCTTTTTTTTCATTGAGTGCGGTGTCTTATTTAAAATTTTAATATTTACAAACCTGTTTGCGATTTTGAAGAGTGAACCTTACGATTTTTAATACGCTATATGTCATATCAAAAATTGATATTTTGTCATAAAATGACTGATTAATGAGATATTTAAGTTCCTGGATTTCACCTCTCATTGATCTTCTAATGATCTCGGTTGAGAGTGGTTTTCGGGAAATGTCAGGAAAATTCATTTGTGGAAAACTTTATTAAACCAGTAAACCATCAATAATAGTTGTAAAATAGATTTTTGTGATACCCGTTTGAAAAGTGCACTTTTCGAAACGGTTTAGTGTGCGTAAAGCGGTTGTTCTCCGTACGGCATGCGTAAAGTTCAAGAGCGTGCGTAAAATGAACTTTATGCACTCACACACAAAAACAACCACTTTACCCCCACTATCGTTGCGAACCGTGAACTCAACAAGCATCACAAAAAATAGGATGTATTACGTGTGTGTGCGAAAAAGTAGATCTTTACGCAAAAGTAACGAATATACTATTGTAAATTGGATCTATTCATCTTTTTAGAGAAGTTAATCAACATACAGTTTTGCAGGGAATTTTACAAAAATTTCAAAGTGACTAATTAAGATGAATACCTTTTCAAATTAAAAAAAAAAATCAATTTACTTGGAATAAATTACTCCCAATTCCAAGTTTACCACGCGGTAATGGACTTGAATGATATATCTACGAACATGTTTAAACAACCAGAAAGACAAATAATTGTGCATTCACTGCTAAATATTTCTTCGCCAAACGATCCATGAATCAATAATGTAAATGACAACAGACTGAGTCACCCATTCTATTTATTATGCATAAGCTCTCAGTTGCATGCCACACGATTTCTCAATTCCCCACCCCCCTAAATCGTAGATAACATGCAGTATTTATTATTTGTTATTTTTTTACATTCTTCTAACATCTTCAAAATTAAACTCTATCTTTACCTCGGGTAAGGTACGTTCACCAGCCATGACTAGAAACTCGAGTACACAATCAGCACATCCAGAGTCTGAGAGATTTGGCTCAACAACTGGATACAAATCCTTGAGTTTATCACCGTAAATATCACTCTTCATAACACCCTCACGGGCCTTCATAGCATTTACGTTGCCACGGAGAGTATTAATTTCTCCGTTGTGTGCGAGCATCCTGGAATTAAATCAATCAGTTATACAGTGTTGAGAATAATTACTGAATTGCATAATATTAATAAAATTGTAATTAATCAGATTTAAAATAACAGTTTGCCAGTATTCATGTAGAAAAGGAAGAAATTAATCGAATTTGATGAAAAAAGAATTCTATGGCATAATTTTCAAAGAAAAAAGAGATTTTAAGGATAATCGGGCGAGGAGGAAATGTAGGAGGTGAGGCGGAGGGGTTTCTATTGTTTTCCTGCAGAAAACCAATCGCTGAACAAAAAAATTTTTCCCATTTGGATTCAAAATTCAGGCAATATTAGGGAGTATCTCCGGTTAAAAATTATTTTTAGAGCTTATCAAATTTATTTGTATCTGTCCCACGCATTGAATGGTTTTCAGATTGTTTTTTTTTTAATAAATGAAAAAATATTAATCCATGCGAAAAAGTGGCAACATCGTCGGTAGTTTTTTCTTTTTTTTACCACGAGCTGGTACCACTGGTTCGAGGGAGCTCCAACCACAACGTTTCATCGCTCTCTCTCAAGAGACGTTTAAATTTACCGCGTTACCCTCATCCGATCGGTAGTTGGGACCTTGCTGCTCGTTTGGGGTGCGTGCACAGAAATTTAATTTTTTGTCATTCCGGCCGTAAGGCAGCGTTTCACGGACACTCGGCGTCCGTGAACCTCTGCCTACGACCTTCATGACAAGAAATATTGTTCGTGATACGGAAAAAAAAACTTTTCTGACGAACATGATTGCAGCTCGAGCTGCAAACCTCATATTCGCCAGAAAATTTTTTTTCGGCCTAATGACGAAATATACTATTTCAGTACTTTTTTCGCTATTATTAATAAACAATGCTCCTAAGCGACAATCTTTTTCATTCAAAAAATCATTGATCACATGTTTTAAATGTGTCTAAAGTTTCATGACTTTGGCTGCATTTTTTCCTTGGGTTTTGCAGTTTTTTTGTGATTTCCATAAGATCACGGGTTAAATGACCACTTTTTCAAAAATTCATAATAAATTAACCATGCTCCCCAGCAGTCTGAAACTTTGCACATGCCTTTTCCATCATTTAAAGAATATGTAAAAAAAAAAAGAAAAAAATGGCTGCTTTTTTTTCTAACCCTCCGGGCTCGCCCGATTATCCTTAAGCATAGTCTCATCAAAATCCACGGACTTTCAAATTTCACCGCGGTCTCCCCTTGAGGTGGTGCTTCCCTTTCTTGATCCGACTAACATTCTGAATGTCAGGCCTCTTCGTACTAAATCACTAATTGGTAACACTGCTGGAACTGCGAGTTCTGTGTCTGAGTCTGACAGGGCTGGTGCTGCTGTTAGACCTGCCTCCCTCTTAGTGACAGTCGCGTCTGGATCTTTGGGTCATGAGCTGGTGATTACCAAGGCTCGTGATGAGAAGCTGCATACATCAGCATTAAATGACGACCATGTGATAGCTTTTAGCGCTTCGCTACCTTTGAAACCATCGCTCATCAATGAGTTTCTTCCTTCGGATCTGTACAATCTTCGTTGTGCTGTGAAGTATGCAGATAAGAAGAAAGGGTTCTCCACTTTTGTCCAAGATAGGTAAGTTTCCATCAAAAGAAAGGAAGATGATAGAGCTACACGTATTGCAACAATGAATGATTTAAAAAACTTTTTGCTAGACTCTCAATAGATTCTTTTCCATTGGTATCCTCTAATGCTATTTCTCCATCTGGTACTTGCTATACTACCACTGATTCCCTGTCTCCTACGCTACCGCATCCTACCCATCCTACCCTTCCTCCTCCGGTGACGATTTCTCACTCATTATCCCACTCATATTTTAAACATAGTACGGCTGCATCGTTGTTGGAGCTAAATGGGTTGGGTGCTTGTCATCTTAGTGTGATCTCTCTTAGGGCTCATATTGATAGGGTCAGGCATTTTCTTGACTCTCGTCATCCACTTCATGTTATCGCCATGTCTGAGACTAAACTTTGCTCCCTTGTTGATGATGATATTGTTTCGCTGGAAGGCTATAAGCTTTTCAAACGGGACCGTAATACGCGTAGGGGTGGTGTTACACTATTCATCAGTGATTGCTTCAGGGTCAAGGTCCTGGCTTCTTCTTCACATGTCTGAACAAAGAGACCAGGCTTACCTGAGTATTTGTTTTGTGAGATCGCCTGCCATGGTGTTTTTCCAATATTTGTCGCGGTGATGTACAGGCCGCTGCATGCTTCGTTCCTTGAAGGCAGTGATTTCATCCCTTCCTTGTAGATGCACCTACGGGATTACAGTTCTAAGGTTATTCCGGATGATTTCAATGTTGATCAGCTCTTATCGAAAAATGCTGTGGTTTTTTCGTGTAGTATTTGCTCTGATAATTCTTTTCCGTTAGTAAAGCATGATGCTACTCATCACACTTGCACATCTGACACCTGGCTTAATCTCTGTCTAATCGATTGTGGAGATACTCTGGTATCTTGTCGGAAAACTGGCGTGCCCTTCAGATGGACATGATCTTATCACGGTTACGCTGCAGGTTGCTCTACCACGTCCAGCACTCAATAATAACATCTGCTATAGAAATTTTGCTGCATTGGATGAGCAGAAACTCGACTCTCGGCTGAGGTCTTGCGATTGGTCAGTGTTTGAAGGATCCTCATCTTTGGACATGATTTTGTGCCTCTGCCCAAATCTCTGTAGTGCTATCGAAGAATCTGTAGCAGTGAAGACTGTGAGGACGATCTTCAAGCGTAACCTGTGGTTCACGGAAAGTATTGACTCCCTTGTGGCTGAAAGAGATCGTCTCTACAGGGTTTACGAACGTGTACGCTCTCGGAGAACGCTGGATGAGTATCGACTGGCTTGTGGTCATGCTCATCGTGAAGTTGAGGGGGCACGTCAGTTGTATTCCCAGAGGAGGATAAAACTTCTTTCTGACTCTGCTCAGATCTGAAAGGAGCTAAGACGGCTTGGTGTTGTTTGTGTAGACAATGTTAGTTTTGATCTCGATCCTGAAGCTTTGAATGAACACTTCGCTGGAGTTTCTTTTAATTAGGTGCGACCTTGATGAGTGATTTTCTGGAATCCCTGGAGGATAAGGAGCGTACTATAAATGGGTGGTTTTCTTTAAGACCGGTTGTTTAATGAAGGGTTCGAACTTGGTGGAATAAATAGGGGATGGGTGAGATGTCGGTGGATTTTCGGGAGTGGTTGAGCGGATCCAAAAAAAGTCACTGCACGCATGTGGTTTTCACAACACACAATATAATTTCACTAATTAACTTTAAACATAGACGCAAGAGTCAATTGTACATAAAAATAATGAGCTGAGCACTGAAAACAATTAATGAGCCGAGCTATAATTGATATCGAATAAATGAGTGGACAGAGGTTATGAAAATTCAGCGGTCCGATACACGCGATGTATAGGTGATCACATCCGGAACGATAAGTCCGACACAGGCGATATCAGGTGAGAAGTTCGTAGTTGTGTGCGTGAAGGGTGGGGTGAGGAATTCATGAGCTGTCCGGAATGTGCTGCCCTCGAATGGTCAGCTGAGCGAAAGCATCCGTTTAAATGCATCTTCAAAGGATTTCCAACACCGGTTATCGCTGATGAGGTCCAGAAGGCTATCAGGCACTTCATCACTGAAACTAAGGGGGTTTGATGGAATTTCCCAATCACTAGTTACAGCTGCTTTACCGTTTTTGTTGCCTTTCCTGTCAGAGCTATTCGACAAGTCTTTTGCCGTTTCTTCTTTCCCTTCAGAGAGGAAAAAATCTCTTATTGTGGCGCTCGGTAAGGTAAAGAATCGGTTGTCGGCCAATGACTACACACCACTAGCGCTGTTGTGCTTTTTGTCCACGGTCTTCGAGGAACAAGCCTCCTTACAGATCCTTGGATTCCTTACTGAGCGCTCATTACTGCATTTACTTCACACTGGCTTTGGTCTCTACAACGGCTCGCAGACAACACTACTGAAACTGATGGATGACATACGTACAGGTATAGACAAGCGACAACTGACTGCTTCTTCTCTTCGACTTCAGCAAAGCTTTTGACGCTGTGTCGTGTTGACTATTCAGAAATTGATCGGATACGGTTTCTCATCTGCTGCTAGCAGATGGATTCGTTCATATCTCAGTGATCATTCACAGGCGGCGCTGGGAGGGGCGAGTGATCTGGCCTCTTTCCGTTCCTTGAACAGGGGGGACCACAGGGGTCTGTACTCGGTCTTTTACTATTCCTCCTGTTCATTAATGACGCCTGTGAGAAATTAGCTCTGGGTGTTCGGCATCTGACCTATATTGATGATCTCCAGGTCTATCTGCATTTCTCTAGGGACGAGTTTGAAGCGGCTACTTCCAGGATGTCGCAGGTAACCAACTGTGTTATTGACTGGGCTGTACGTAATCGCTTAAAGCTGAATGTCACCATGACAAAGGAAATTATTTTCGGTTCTCATTATTATGTACTACAGTAACGTGATTATTCCTTGAGGAAAATCAAAATCTGAGGTACGATTAAGTAATTAATAACATATACTCCGTGCTCGATATCTCCATTAGCATTGGTGGATGACCCGTTCCATTTAATACTTCAGTGCGCAGCCTTGGAATGGTGCTCTCCTGAAGGAACCATGTGGCTAGTATAACTCAGAAAGTCCACTCTGTGATGTACCGCCGACATTTTTTCCGAGCTACTACCACTCTTGGTATGCGCGAACACCTGGTTGAGACTCTGGTGTTTCTTCGGGTAGACTACTGCAGCCTTGCCTATGGTGGTCTTTCTATGGGGAGCTCTCTCTTAAGATCCAGCGCCTTATCAACATGGGATTTAGACATATTTTCGGGGTTAGGAAGAACGAGCACATTAACCCTTATCGCGTGCGATGGGATTGGATGACGTGTGATACTCGCAGAAAATATTTTCTTGCGTGTCTCACTTTCAAAATTCTGAGGTTCAGGGAACCGACTCATTTAGCTGATTTTTTTGTTGCCAGCTACGTTTTGCGTCCTGTGAGAGGTGAAGTGAATCCGTTACTCATCAAGCCTTCCAGAACTGAATCCCTTTGTCGCTCCTTTCATGTGATAGCCGCCTATATTTGGAATGATCTTCCCGCTTCCATTCGTGACATCCCAACTCTGCTGTCTTTCAAAGTGGCTATACGGGCCTTTCTCAGTAACCATCCTTACTTTTCTGAACCCTCCCCCCGCACCCCGTATTGGTGTATGATTTAAGTATCCAGTGATCATCAGGACGATGAGGATTTCGAAATACATATTCCTTATACTACAGTAACGTGATTATTCCTTGAGGAAAATCAAAATCTGAGGTTCGATTAAGTAAGGTGGATCCGGAGCATCCTCATCACTACCTAATACTCATGAGTAATTATTCAAATCGTGAATTTTACCCAAAAATTGTATTTCTATATTCATTTATTCAATTCAAGTTGAAACCCTTCTCTTTATTCTATTACAATAATCCATTGCATCGCCGCCAGATGACAACACCTTTGCATTCTCATTCGACATTTTTTTTCCTTTGACATTTTATTGCAATGATAATTCAAATCTAATTACGTGATCATAGAAATTCTAGATTAACTGAATGTTTATTGGCGTTAAACTAATGATGATTGCAGCACTTTGTGTAACGAGGTTAATTATGAATTGTTAGTTTTGCAGAATCAAAAATTGCCAGAAAAAGATCACTATGAATAAGCATCGATGTCCCGGCCCCCTGCAGCCGCGGCGGCGCCAGTGATGGAAAAACCCTATCAATGCAAAAGATCAATGATGAGTGAACAATCAATAAGTTATTTTGCATTTTCCATCAATTCTTTCTCATTTGGGAGAGAAGAATGAATATATAAACAAAAATAGCACTAACTTCAGAGGAGATGGTCAGATGGAACAGAAACAAATGCCAAATGGAATACATTCTAAATATGTCACCGACATTGATAGCAATACGCAACATTTTGATGATATTTCAATTGATGGTAGTACTGTGACATGAAAAAATAGAACAGAATAGTGAAATAATAATTTTAACCTTTACACCGAGCTCCTGCAAAAGCGCACGTTTACCGTCTGTCAGACCGCACCTCCGTCTTGATCGCATTTCCTATTTGTTGGAGTGAATGAATCATTACTTTTCGTGACTGAAGGTTCAAATGAGGGCTAAAACGGGGAAGGGTTGAACAGAAGAGGCAAAACGTATATCTAATTTTATTTTTTTTTTCTTCGCATATAAATGGTTGTTGTATCTCGGCGGCTTGGCACAGTGGGTAAGTTCGTTGCCTCACAGGCGAAAGGTTCCGAGTTCAAATCCCGACCGGTTAGAATGGTGCGATCTAACCATTTAAAGTCTTGATCATTATCGCAATATACCCTGACCGGGTCGAAGCGATGTAAAATAACGATAAAAAAAATGAATAAATGGTTGTTATGAACATTTTTTCCTATAAATCTCGCCTTTTAATTCTCGATTATCGAACTAACAAAGATATGGCATTCCTCATGAATAATTGGTATTAATTATTATTTTTTATCAATTCCCTCAGGGAACAAATTGAAAGGAATATGGGTGGTTTTCGTGGATTTATTGGAGCGAAAAAAAATCAAAAACGTTTTATATCGATGAAATAGGAAGCTACTGGATGTTTGAATTTTTTTTCTTACATTTATCAATAGTTATACATTGTGAAAGTTTTAATATCGGTTCCACAGACCGGGAGTTCAGTATAAAGATTAAAAAAGACAACCCATTCTGAAGCAAATTGCTAATTTCTTAGCAACAATAATTATACTCATTTATTAAAAACATGCAAGTATCAACTTGATTTATTTTGTCACCAATACTAATATTTTGGTTCAATCTTCGATGTCACCTAAAGGCGCACAAAAATTGTTTTCTCGCGCCTAAAAGTTGTTCTCGAGGAAAAGAATCAGACTTCAATTAGGAAGCTTCTAACACACATGCAGAACGGTTTGCGGGAAGAATCATGCCGAATTGTGCACAATAAATTAAACATTTGCATGTTTGAATTGTGCAATGTAGACTTCAAATTATACGAAGTGTAGTTCGGATAGTACATTACAATTCAGTAGAATTCAATATGCATATTGTTTACTTAGAATGTGGAGATTGTGATTTCTGTCAACAAGGATTCAATCCAAAACATCAAATGTGTCAAAGAATGGAAGGACTCGAAATAGGGAATAGGGTCACTCTATCAAGAATATTTTCTGTTGGTGTTGAATTATGCAGAAAATGTACCTCAAAGGATGAGCTCTCTCCCAACTTGGGAATGTATTAGTTGAGAATCGCGTGTGTACCAGAGCGAGATAAGTCTCAAATTTGGGATTCTTCAGATCAGTGAAGTATAGCCACAATTGATCGGCGGTAAATTGACCCTTGTAGACCACCGTCCTGAGTGAGAGGGAGCAGATGTAGTATCGTAGACCAGGCTGTGGTATAGTGTGCGATGAACGCTTCCGTAGTACAAACACCTGGATAATTTAACAATGTTCTTATCAGTAAAAAATCAATTGATAACGGAAGATGCAATAAATTCCATTGAAAAATAAGGCAGAAGACGAATAAGAAAAAATTGCATAATTAATTCTCCATGAGTGAAACGAAGATTGATAAGAAAATAGAAAAACATGAACAAAGTTAAATTCGAAATTTTTGTTGTGTAATTGCGTAATTATCTCGATAACGAGTGATCCTAGGAGCGAATGTCAAGAAGTGTTCCTCAACTATAAAAAAGATCTCCTGACATTTCGTTTGGAAATAACATGTTATGAAACGATTTGATACTTAATATAAAAAATTCTACATCGATTTGTTAAATTTTAATCATCGTAATATTAATATTACTTATTACCGAATGAATAAGAGAATTTACAAACATATCATATTTTACTTCTGCATTATTTGAGGGATTCGAGAAGTTTTTTTTATAATTTTCTTTTACTACCTGACGGTTGAGGAGTTCCACCTCTTGATCGCCAGTGACGAATACTTGGCGCATGTAAGGCTCGCATTTTCGTGCCACTTGGCCAATGTGAGAATTGTCTGTTGGTACGTCACGCCAACAAATGACCTGTAAAAATAAAAAATTATATTTCCATCATCAGTGAAGCCTAAAAAATCACTAGTTGAATTCAATTAATTTTTTTCGAGCAGAATATACGTCTTCAGCTGAAGATGACATAAAGAATTAAGAGGGAAGTAATGTAAGAAAATTGAATTACAACTTCACTGAAATAAGAAATAAGTAACCCTTCACTTCGACTGTTTTCCTTTAAACGAATGAATTTGAGCAATTTGAGTGGTTTCGATATATTCTAAGAGCTGGTGACGGTTTTGCGTACGATATTTAGAATATAGATGGGGAAAATTTTTGAAACCTATCTTTATATTTTGAAAACGAAAAAACTTCTGGCTGAACGAGTCCGGGGTATATACGCGGGAGAGTTTGATAATTGGGAAAAAACACCCCCATTTATACTATAAATAACACATTTGGTGCCTTTTTCTTATTGAAAAGTGACCTCATGCTTTCCACGAAATCGAAAATTCCAGAAGTTTTCGCGATTTCCAGACACGCACAACACTGCTTTAAAAGTGTTAAAAAAACGTCCCCATTTAGACTATAAGTAACAAAGCTGACATTTTGCGGTTATTCCTAGTCCAGTCAAATTAGACGCAAAAATTGCCGAACCGGTGAATAATTTCACCGCGTATAAAAAATACCCTTTCAATAAATGAAAATGTCCTGAATAACATATAAAAATGATCAAACATAGATCGGTGCAGAAAATATCTAAAAAAAATTGAAAACGAACGAATTTTGTTGAGGTTAATAACAAAAACATTCGTAGTTTCGACCAAACTCAATGGATTGAAAAGAAAATTATACCCAATTGTAGACGTGAAAATTTCACACAAAACTGATATGTAAAACGATATTCTAGGATGAATTGTTTTTTCGTAAAAAACGTCGGAAATTTTGTTAACCCCAATTTCGTGATACTTCCCCCGTCTTTCCCGAGGCTCCGCCCCTTTCGCCGTGCGCACGTCAATGGAAAGAGCGGTATGCCCAGCAGATTCAAATCGACATGTACTCGATTATTCAATCAAGTGCGTGACGATATTGCGATTTTCCGCCCTCAAATCCAATCAATTAACTTGAAAATTCAGAGAAGCACAGAAATATAGGTGCATAAATTTTTTTCTTTACTATCAATGTCAATTCTTCAGCGTAAATTTTCAGAGTTTTTTCCGCTGTTTGTTCAGTTTTGTTCCCATAATATATGTCCCGTAAGTTTGCAGACAAAAATCTTCAACAGAGCATATCTGGTGAGGAAATTGAACAATTAGAAAATTTCAAGTTTCAATTTGGCGGGCGTGACGAAATCTAATCGTGATGGTGGCTAAATATGTGAATAAATAAATTACGGATTGATTTCTTTGAAATGTAACTATAGAAAACCATTGACATGGCATATATCACCTCGGAGTTATTTTATTGGAAAAAAAACATGGTCACGATTTTCATTCTACGAAATTTCGACGTGATTTTTATCCTTTTTTTCTAGTCTTATCGGTCAACGTTAAATCCGCTGTAGAACACTAAATCTTTGGCAAGCTTCATTATTCATCCAAATGATTCAATCGAAAAAAGAAAAAGCATCACGTTTGAAAAAATTATAAATCTTGTTGTGATGTTTCTTATTTTTTGTAATAAATGTTTCATTAATGATATATACAATGTTTTTCATGAGGGAAAATATCAACAGAGGATATCTACAAGGAAGATAAGTAGATTAGGACAAAAAACAAATGAAACATCGGATTGTAATAAAACCTCGACGTGAAATTTTTTTTTTCAATTTCTCTTCGTTCTTTCCATGAAAAATAGTAGAATAACGACGATAAATACGTTTAACATCGGATATCTACTAGACGAACAATGATGTTGAAAGGAAAAAAAATCACACTTCACATTCTCTCCCAATTGTTACATGATATTCGTTGCTTTTCTTCTAATTATTATTCTCAGAGATCTACAATGGATGCTATAGTCATGATGCTGAATTTCATATATCTAATCGTTTAACAAAGTGTATTTTGCGAGGAGCTGGCAAAGAAAGATGTCGCAGAGAAGAAAGAGCTAGCTCTAGAAACTCTAGTCAGACGAGGATGGCCAAATTGTACAAGGGTCACAAAAATCACGAGGACTACGAGAATCACAAGGTGATGGTTGAATTTCATGAGGATCAAGCATCACGAAGATTATGGGGGAGGGTCAAATTTTACAAGGTTAAAAAATCGGCACGATTACAAGAGTCACAAGGGAATGATCAAATTTCGCTCGACTCAAATATCACAAGAGTCACGTGGAGATAGTCAAATCTCACGAGGGTCACAAGGGGGTGGTCAAATTTCACAACGATCACGAGGGTTACGCGGGTCACAAGAGAATACTCAAATTTATGGAGGCCAAAAATCATAATGGTCAGTAGGGGATAGTCAAATTTTACAAGGATCAAACATCACGAGAGTCATAAGAGATGATTACACTCCAGGAAAGTCAAACATCACGAGGATCACGAGGGGAAGGTCAAATTTTACGAGGGTCGAATATTCTGAGGGAAATTCTCGGGTTTTCTAGAAAATTCGTGAAAATCCTTGAATTTTCTAAAAAATTCAAGAAAATTGTCCAATTTTCCCAAAACCGGAAAATTCGAAAAAACTGTACGGTTTTACTGCAAATTTGAGGAACTCTCTTGGTTGTCGAAAAAACTCCGATTTTCTCTCCCTTGTGACTTACGTGACCCTCGTGATGTTTGACCACCCCGTTGAGATCCTCGTGATGTTTGACCGTCGGAAAATTGAACCATCTTCTAAAAACTCTCGTGATGTTTGACCCTCGTGAAATTTGACTAGCCCCTTGTTACTCTCGTGACTCCAGTGAAATTTGACCATCCTGTGACCTTTGATGAAGTTTGACCATCTCTTTGTGACTTTTTGAAGAAAAATTATTTTTCCTATTTTCTAAGTTTTACACTCACGAGACCGAGATGATATTCTCTTAACCGAGACCGAGACGATACTGGAAATTTGGATATTTCTCAAGACCGAGACGAGACTGGTGAAAGTCTCGTCTCGTGCGCAGCCCTAAAAAGAAGAAACTCACGGGAGAGTTTTCAAGAATAACATATATAAATGTCGATTTTTTAAGAATATAATCATTTTTGTAGAAGATATCCGATGTTGATCGTATTTATTTTCGTGATTCCATCATTTTTGATGGAAATAGCGAAGAGAAATCGAAAAAAAAAATTCACGTTGAGTTTCTATTGTAATTCAACGTTTCATTTGTTTTTTGTCCCAATCTACGTATCTTTCTCGTAGATATCCTCTGTTAATGTTTTCCCTCGTGAAAAACATTGCATATATCATTAATAAAACATTTATTACAAAAAGCAAGAAACATCACGAGAAGATTTATAATTTCTTCAAACGTGATGCTTTTGCTTTTTTCGATCGGATCATTTGGATGAATAATGGAACTTGCCAAAGATTTAGTGTTCTACAGCGGATTTAACGTTAACCGATAGGACCAGAAAAAAAGGACAAAAATCACGTCGAAATTTCGTAGAATGAAAATCGCGACCATGTTTTTTTTCCCATAAAATAATTCCGGAGTGAGATATGCCGTGTTATGTCCGAAGGATTTTTCAGGCGGGAAAATCCTGAGTTTCTAAACTAATTTATCCGTTGAATTCATTCGTTGGACTATAATGGATCAGGTATCAAGAACTCCTTGGTTAACAATAAAAATAAAGTGCGATAAAATGTTTCTTATCGCGTTTTCCCGAGTGTTAATGAGCAATTTGTTTATTCTGCACTCTTACCTTGTTTTCTTCTTAGTTAATGGGACCGGAAGTTTCAGATTTCTTATTCCGAAGGGATATTTTAAATGATTTAAGCGAATTTCTCGAATGTGTAACACCTTTAATTGTTTGTTTTAACCAGTTAATCCAAGTTTACAATGTCAGGGAAAATTTGAAGCTGGTTCGATTTAATTGATTTTCCGCGAATCACAAAGTTCAAATTTTACAACAATATTTTACTTAGGATTTACTTACAGGTTTTCTGCTTATTGGAGATGTAATCCCAAATAGATGGAAATGTCGTCCCAGACACTTATTACAGTTTCTCTCTTTAAAGTATTTTTCAGTTCACAATGTTCTTTAGTATTTTTAAATTAAGGATCCGAATTGTTTATAAATACACGCACACTTGTACCGTAAGGCGTTTGGAGTCGCGAAAGCCTTATTGGTTCGTACGCGTGATTTTAAAGCCAAAAGAGTGTATCTCTTCTTTCTATGATACTAGAGAATGTGAAAACTCTCGTTAATTTTGATGAGGGATTTTTGATAACTGAAATTTCCGAATTTCCAAAATCGATCAACTCTCGGTAGCGATCGTCAGCACTCAGGAGACCACCCTCGAAATCCAGTTCACTGATTTCTGTTGGGAGCTATGACGAAAGATTGACTTTCTCCGACTTGTAACCGAAAAATCCGAATTACCGAAGATTGGCGAACGTATTCGTTCCCCGGGTTTTCCACGACTGAGGTTTACTTTTATCAATTGTAGTTTTCAAGTTTTGGATTTAGGCGTTGGCTTTATGGGATGGGGGTTCACTTGTTCACGTGATCGAATTTTCGCTGATTCCACTCCTGGGGTTTTGGAACTTATTAGACTTTGAGGTGGCCTGAGGAATTTAGCGCGATGTTGAAATTGCCTGTCGGCAATTTCGACATTGGTTGCGCCGAAAAAATTAATTTAAAATGTATTTCATGTTCTTTTCTAGATTGGGGGTGATTTTTTAGTTGGTCCAAACGGGGTGTGTGAGGGCTCAACGTTTCTGTTTCGTCCAGGGGAACAATTTTGGTCCTCTGCACTTAATTGTTTGGCCCTTTGTTTAATTGTTAATAATATGTTTTTGTAAATTTGATTCTTATACGCCGTTATTTATCTTCGATTTTGCTGGGGGGGTTTTGAAGGGGAATTTTAGCCTGGGAATAA